CCGAATCTTTGAGACAGGGATACATTCGGCCCTCCACTTCTCCTGCCTCCTCGAGTTTCTTTTTTGTGAAGAAGAAAGATGGAGGGTTGCGCCCGTGCATTGATTACCGTGGTCTCAATCAGATTACTGTGAAATACAGTTATCCACTCCCTCTGATTGCGACCATGACAGAGTCATTGCATGGAGCGCGGTTTTTCACAAAATTGGATCTCAGGAGCGCGTATAACTTGGTGCGCATTAGGGAGGGCGACGAATGGAAGACAGCGTTTAGTACCACGTCAGGTCATTTCGAATATCTCGTCATGCCATATGGGTTGATGAATGCTCCATCAGTCTTCCAATCCTTCGTAGATGACATTTTCCGGGATATGCAGGGACAAGGGGTGGTCGTGTACATTGATGACATTCTGGTGTACTCGTCTACCCGAGCCGAGCATATAACCCTGGTGCGTCGTGTATTGAGGAGGCTGTTGGAGCACGACCTATATGTCAAGGCAGAGAAATGTCTGTTTTTCCAGGAGTCGGTCTCCTTTTTGGGTTATCGGTTGTCCGCGTCAGGGGTGAGAATGGAGGTGGATCGTGTGTCCGCTGTGCGTAATTGGCAAACTCCAACCACTGTAAAAGAGGTGCAGCAGTTCTTGGGCTTTGCGAATTACTACCGGAGGTTTATCTGGGGTTTTGGACAGGTGGCAGCTCCCATCACGTCCCTTCTGAAAGGGGGTCCGGTGCGCCTGCAGTGGTCAGCTGATGCGGACAGGGCCTTTAGGAGACTGAAGGACCTGTTTACGTCGGCTCCGGTGCTGGCGCATCCGGATCCCGCATTACCCTTTCAGGTTGAGGTAGACGCGTCTGAGGCTGGTATAGGGGCCGTTCTCTCTCAACGGTCCGGCACGCCACCTAAACTCCGCCCCTGTGCTTTTTACTCAAAAAAGCTCAGCCCGGCGGAGCGTAACTATGACGTTGGGGACAGGGAGTTGTTAGCTGTAGTTCAAGCCCTTAAGGTGTGGAGGCATTGGCTTGAGGGGGCTCAACACCCTTTCCTCATTTTGACTGACCATCGGAACCTGGAGTACATCCGGGCAGCGAGGAGACTGAACCCTCGCCAGGCTCGATGGAGTATGTTTCTCACCAGGTTCGTATTTAAAATCACGTACATCCCTGGGTCCCAGAATGGTAAGGCAGATGCGCTGTCCCGGCGGTATGACACGGAGGAGAGGTCCGTTGAGCCTACTCCCATACTACCGGAGTCTTGCCTTGTGGCACCGGTGGTGTGGGAGGTCGATGCCGAAATCGAGCGAGCGTTGCGTACCGACCCCAGCCCTCCACAGTGTCCTGAGTGTCGGAAGTACGTTCCGCTCGAGATTCGGGATCGACTCATTTACTGGGCTCACACGTCACCCTCCTCTGGACATCCGGGTATTGGCCGGACAGTGCATTGCCTTAGCACTAAATACTGGTGGCCCACTTTGGCTAGGGATGTGAGGGTTTATGTCTCCTCCTGCTCGGTGTGCGCCCAGTGTAAGGCGCCCCGACATCTGCCCAGGGGTAAGTTACAACCCCTGCCCGTTCCACAACGACCATGGTCCCACCTCTCGGTGGATTTTGTGACAGACCTTCCCCTCTCTCAGGGGAATACCACCATCCTGGTCGTTGTGGACCGGTTCTCTAAGGCCTGTCGTCTACTCCCTATGTCGGGTCTTCCTACTGCCCTACAGACCGCTGAGGCCCTATTTACCCACGTCTTCCGGCATTACGGGGTACCCGAGGATATAGTGTCTGATCGAGGCCCCCAGTTTACCTCCCGTGTTTGGAGAGCGTTCATGGAGCGTTTGGGGGTCTCGGTTAGCCTTACCTCAGGGTACCACCCGGAGAGTAACGGGCAGGTAGAACTTGTCAACCAGGATGTGGGTAGGTTTCTGAGGTCGTATTGCCAGGGCCGGCCGGAGGAGTGGGCACGGTACATTCCCTGGGCCGAGATGGCCCAGAACTCTCTCCGCCACTCCTCTACCAACCTAACCCCCTTCCAATGTGTGTTAGGTTACCAGCCGGTTCTGGCACCTTGGCAGCAGAGCCAGATCGAGGCCCCTGCGGTGGATGATTGGATGAGGCGCTCAGAAGAGACGTGGAACGCTGCCCACGTCCACCTGCAGCGGGCCGTCCTTCGTCACAAGGCGAGCGCCGATCTCCACCGCAGTGAGGGGCCGGTGTACGCACCCGGAGATCGAGTCTGGCTCTCTACCAGAAACCTACCCCTCCGCCTGCCCTGCCGGAAGCTGGGTCGGCGGTTTGTGGGGCCCTTTAAAGTCCTGAGAAGATTGAACGAGGTGTGTTATAGGTTACATCTACCTGTTGAGTATAAGAATATTAACCCCTCGTTCCATGTGTCTCTTCTCAGGCCGGTGGTAGCTGGTCCACTCCAGGACAATGAGAGAGGGGAGACTCCTCCGCCCCCACTGGACATCGAGGGGGCTCCGGCGTACACCGTTCGGTCCATCTTGGACTCAAGACGCCGGATGGGGGGTCTCCAGTATCTCGTGGAGTGGGAGGGGTACGGCCCGGAGGAGCGGTGCTGGGTGCCGCGGAGGGACATCCTAGACCCATCTCTCCTATCGGAGTTCCACCGGGACCATCCCGCGCGCCCTGCTCCGCGTCCTCCTGGTCGTCCCCGAGGCCGGGGTCGGCGCACGGCTGGAGCCGCACATCAAGGGGGGGGTACTGTCACGGTTTCGGCCGAGGCTGCTCCTCCTCCTGGTTCGGGCAGGCTTCGGCGGTCGTCGTCCCCGGAGTACTAGCTGCCACCGATCTATGTTTCATGTTCGTTTGGTTTTGTCTTGATGTTGTACACCTGTGTCTTGTTAGTCCTCGTTAGTGTCCTATTTAGTTCTCGTTGTGTGTGTTTGTCTTCGTGTGTGATTGCTCTTCTGTTTCGTGTTGGAGCTACGTACTTCCCTCCAGTGTTTTGGAGAGGTTTTTCGCACATGTTAGTGCGCCGTTTGTTTGACGCCTGTGTGCGCCGTTATTTAGCCTTCGGGCTTATTGTGCTTATTTTCTACGTGAATATTGCACTAAAGTCTTTTGGACTGAGCTTCTGCGTCCTGCGCTTGATTCATGCACCACACCCACCTTCAGCACCCCTTGACATGTGCTCCTCGCTCCACACTTGCCCTCTTACATGCTCTGGCATTCAAAAGCAGCAGTGCTTTAGGTTATCAAAGAACTGTCAATGAATAATCAAATCAATGGATAGAATCAGTGAATGAATGGCTGCAGGAACCATTACATGGTCTGACAATCTGCATAAGAAATGAGGCCTAATTAGACAAAATAACAATGACATTTTTTTTACTAAGTCATTCAAACAAGAAAGTCTTTCAAATGAGATAATTCCAAGGATCTACGTTATTTTATTTTTTCTTGGGCATCCATATAACTTCCATGAATAAGCATTAATAAACAATTTATGAACTATTCATTGATATATATTTAATTAATTGTAAACAATAATGTATAAGCATGACAAACATTTCAATTCTTAAGTATTAATAATCTCTTATTTATTAAAGTCATTATACCGAATATTCAATTTGCCCACCTTGGAATTCTGTTATTGGGTGTTTTATGAGACCATAGGGGACTTACAAAATCATGTATGTCTGAATGGGGACCATGTACAAAGTTAGTAAAAACAACAAATTATGTACTATAATGTGTGCTTGTTAGCATAATCATGAGTGTTTTACTGTTAACTTCAGGTGTTAACCTTTTCCTCCCTCCCTCTCTTTTTTCTCCCTCAAATACAAGTATTCATATTCTCATTCATTTGTACTCTGTAAATAATATGACCATCTTGAAGGCTCGGGGAGCAAATGGTCTAAGTTTCTCATTTGAGTAATATAAGTTCTAGATGCAATAATTAACTGATGGGTTTTATGGTTGAATATATACATAAATTATCCTATGCTTAAAAAACAAGGTCATGATGTAATTTACCTTAGACAAGATGCATGATATCTGAACAACAGTGGATTTATATGGCAAGGAAACCAGTGTGCCTCAACAATGTATTGGTTCAATTTAGCCTCCTAGTTGCTATGGTAACTATAACTGAGTTGGCTCAGCTGGAATATATTGCTTGCACACATTTTGTAGAGAGAGAGAGAGAGAGAGAGAGAGATTATGAAAGATGGAGTGGGTGAGGAGAAATGAGGAAATAACTTTATGAAGAAGGAAATAACAAAGTACATCCTTTTGGTCTTATTGGAAAATCCTCCACATTAATCATTCTCTACATGACATCAGAAAATGAATGTTTATCTAGGTCCCTATTTATGGGAATCACTTGAGGGAAGTTATGCGGAAGTATGCTATTTTGTGAAAGACTTATCAGACTTTTTCTCCACTGATATTAATTTCCTTGTACTCATCAAATTTGAAGGCTTAGATGGGCAAATTGAAATGACACTTTCTCTGGCAGTGCAAATAGAAATGACACACACATAGGGCAATGGAGTGACTCAAATTTCCACAACATCCTTTAATTAATCTCTCTGAAATAACCAAAGGATTTACACTCTTAGAAAAAAGGTTTCAAAAGGGTTCTTCAGCTGTCCAAATAGAACCCTTTTGGGTTCCATGTAGAACCCTCTGTGGAAAGGGTTCTACATGAAACCCAAAAGGGTTCTGCCTGAAACACAAAAGGGTTTCTCAAAAGGTTCTCCTATGGGGACAGCCAAATGATTTTAGTTTAGAGATAGAACATATTTTTCTAAGAGTGTAGAATGGTATGCCAATACTGATGCAGCCATCGAAGTACAGACCTCTGTTAGCAAAGGTTAACTAAAGTCAGGTGCCATTCCCAAAGGCTAAAGGTCAGGCTACAATCTCTCAGGTTCAAGGGAAGGGCCAGGATAATCAAAAGGTCTCTCTAACCTCTAGTAACACTTCTTGGTATTATTAAATCAACTTCAAGTAAAGTGTGATTTTTGAAACTCATGCTTACCTGGTTTGATGGAAAGGGTGGCACTGCTAAATGCTTTCCCAGCCTCATTGGCAGCTGTCACACAGTACGTTCCAGCATCACTTGGTTTTGCACATTTGATGAGAAGTGAATACCGCTCTCCCTCCACTTTGACCCCATAGTTTGGGCTGTTAGTGATCTCAATATTGTCTCGTCTCCAGGTAACTAGATAAGGACACAGACAAAAATAAGCTGAGGTGATATCAAAAAGACATTTGTGCACAAAACAAATGTGCACAAAACAAACCGGAGTAAAGGTGGTGCCTACATTCTTAGAAAAAAGGCTTCCAAAATGGTTATTTGGCTGTCCCCTTGGGAGAACCCTTTGAATAACTATTTTGGGTTCCAGGTAGAACCCTCTGTGAAAAGTGTTCCACACCCAAAAGGGTTATTCAAAGGGTTCTCCAATGGAGACAATATATTTTAATGACTTTGAATGGGGTATGGTAGTAGGTGCCAGGCGTGTGTAAAGAACTGCAACGCTGATGGGTTTTTCACACTCCACAGTTTCCCGTGTGTATCAAGAATGGTCCAACACCCAAAGGACATCCAGCCAACTTGACACACTGTGGGAAGCATTGGAACTGTGGGAAGCATTGGAGTCAACATGGGCCAGCATCCCTGTGGAATGCTTTCGACAGCTTGTAGAGTCCATGCTCCGACGAATTGAGGCTGTTCTGAGGGCAAAAGGGGGTGCAACTCAATATTAGGAAGGTGTTCCTAATGATTTGTACACTCAGTGTATGTGCTACATAGAGATAGAGATAGCTTGCCTTCTGGGAGAGGGGTGCCGGCAATGATGACTCTCAGCAGGACCTCAGTACCAGCAGTTGCCACAGTGTCCTTAAGAGGAAACTCAAACATAGGGGCCTCCAAGGGGTCCTCTTCAGCAGACACGTAAGAGTCGTCTGAAGAATCTGCACAGATTACAAAACGTACATTTGAAAACCCAGTTTTAACGAAATTACGAAGACATTCATGGCTGTGTTCAGAACTGAGGAATACCCATTAGCATTGGACTTTGAAAATACAAGGGCAATAAGATAAGAAGCCTCTAATATGCACATGACAGACATTTTCATTTTCACCAAAAAAGATTGATATTGAAAATAATTCGCACCTAACTCTGGAGACATGGGCCTAGTGCAGCGACCCTTCACCCTGGTCTTCTGTGTTTGGCCTTCTTTCACATTGGTCAGTTCCTTAGACTTGTTAGTCTCTGGAGGAACTTCCTCTTCCATGGGCTCTTCTTCGACAATGATGGTAGGTATGATTAGCTTGGGGTCTGGCTTGATTAACTCCACTTCCATTTTCTCCTCAGATGGGGAGACTGGAATGTTTGTAGAAGAGGTAACCAGCCGTGGAGGTTTTTGCAGAGGTTGTATTGGATGCTCTTGTACAACGGAAGGCTTTCTCTGTACCAATTGACTTTCTGGTCTATGCTCTACTTTTCTTAAGGCTACCTCTACAGGTATTTTCCTTCCTGACAATTCTTCCTTTGGGGACTTTTGGGCAGGAGATTCTTGGATGTCCTGAGATTCTTGCATACGAGATACCCTCTGAACAACTTTGCATAACGTCATGTTGACAACAGTTCTGCTTGGTGACTCTTCCTGTTGTTGGCGATTTGCCGATGGATCGTAAGCCCTCTGCAGCTGCATCTTTGCTGGTGATGGAGACCTCTGACGGATCTCCCTGACTGGACTTGCTCGATTTACCTGTCTTGTTGGCCTCTGTCCCAGTAAGTCAGCCTGTTGCATAGATTCTGGAGTGGCTGCTACATCTCCCAATCTACTGACTGTTATGTTACTCATGGAGGGGCCCTCAGTCTCGTGGGTTTGGGGCGAAGGCTGCCCCTGTCGTGCTTGTTCTTGTAGGTGCAGTCGTGGTGATTTTGGTGGTGCTACCTCTTTAGGCTGTTCTGTCTCTTTCTGCTCCTTCTCCTGATGGACACGCTCCCTTTCCTGGAGCTTCTGGAGAATTTGCGGTGGGAGGGGCTCAATCTTCCTCAAGGGCTGCCTACCTCTTGCCCTGAGCGAGAGCTGCTCGGTGGAGAATGACTTCTTCATGTGAAGTTTACCCACAAGCTTCTTGATTCGTTGAAGCTCTTCAGTGAACTTGTTATCGATGTCCTGGACCTTCTGGGTGGTACGGGGCCTGCAGTCCTCCAAGGACGCAGCCTTCTGTCTGAAATTGGACCTCCGTTCGGCAGCGTCCACCTTCAGAGCCTCTCGTAGGTCTTCCCTCGAACTCTCTCTGGAGATGCCCAACCGGCTCCCTCCGTCGTCTGAGTCAACGGACACAGCGCGGTTGAACCCGGCCCAGGACCGTCCCGAGATGGAGCCTTCATGGTCACAGCTTCGCCTTCGCTCTTCGAAACCGCGCACCTTCTCAAAGATCTTGGAGCTTGCTCTGGTCAGTTTGGGGGACGGCCTAGGCTGGTATTCCTTGCGGGAGTACTCGCTGACACTGACAGATGTCTGAGGACGGGAGTTCTGAGTTTGTTTTAACTTTTCCTCAAATTCACCAGGGACTGTGTCTTGGTAGTCGGTTGGCACAAAAAATGTATTGCGGGGTGTGAGTGGTGTGTTTGGGGCTGACCCAGAGCGGCTTGGCATTGGAGAAGTGGAGGGGCGTTTAATAATTCTGGGAGAGGGGGGTGGGAGGACTTGTGGGGAAGATTCCCTCAAAACATTTCCGGATTGGCTCCTGAAAGAAGATGGTTATGGGAAATGATCTGTTAGAGAAAGAGTTCTAAATTATACCTGGGCCAGTGTGAGTAATGTCAGGGATATCATTAACACTGGGAGTTCTATTTTCGGCTGGCGTTAAGGCAGTGCTATTGTCAAACGCACATGCTCGTAGGCGCTTTGCTATCTTCCAACCCTTGCGCCAGGGTTGGTAATTTACCTGTCTAATATCAATGCGCTTGCGCTGAGGTGGGAGGAGTGGAAATATCTGAGCTGTGTCCTTAAAAAGTGTGCCAAATTGCCAATTTCATGCAGTGCAACTAGGGATATTTAAGACCAACCAAAAGCTGGTCTTAGCAGTAAGGCAGTTGGTATGGCATCGATTTTGCCAGCGGAAGCGTAGCCTAATCATTAGCCTATCACCAATGTTTATTCATATAATTTTTGGGAGCAGCAAAACAGTCAGCAGACATTCGCCATTTTTCTTTATATTAGATATTGTTAGTTTTTCAGCTTCTGTGAAAGGTTTTGATTCATTATGTGCAATGCCCATTGAATGAAATATATCAGTGACAGTAGAGGACTTCATGGATCCACCTGTACCCAAAAACCCGAGACCCGATCCGGGACCCGAGCGGGTCCGGATCCAGAATTCGAAATAATGTCACGGGTCTGGGTAGGATCTGATATGATTGTCACGGGTCTCAGATATGTGTAATTTTAACTGACTTGTCCGGAAGGACCCATACAGATCCGAATGTGACTGCTGCAGTAGTGAGAGAGAGGGAAATTGTATAATTGATGCTCTTTGCTTTTCACGAGAGTGGTGCGTGTAGCAATTGTTGTTGTTGTTGGCCAATCATATGTAATAAAAGTGGCAATAGGCTACAGTTATAGAGCCTCCATGTGGGGCAAATGTAAGGAGATATCTGATAAATGGAATTACATATATGGAATTAAAAGTTCAAGGAGAAGGATAGGCTACAACGACCAAGAGCCAACACGTAGACTGCTACTTTATATTCTGAATGGAGTTGTTGTTGTTTGTAACTTTGTAGGATGAGAAAGTGCATGCAGCCTCAATTAGCCTAGCTAACTAGCTAGCTTAACTAGCTTCTCCTGGTTTGATGCAGTCAAAACCGGTACTATGCAATCATATTGGATGATAGATAGTCTACTATAGCGTGAGTCGGCTTGGTTGGTTGCTGTCTCTCATCTCTCGCGCCTCCCTGTTCCGTGTCACTCGCTCACCTTCACAGTAGCCTACACATACAGCACGGCCCCTGCTAGAGCATCAACTCTCTCTACCTCCTCTCTGTCGTGCTTTATCAGCTCTGGTTAATAAAGTAGCTTAAAAATGGACTTTTCTGTTGCTTCTCTCCGACCAGGTCTATACAATACGGGTCTAGTTATCCTCGGGTCTGTTCGGAACGGGTCTCTATATTAAAAATGTTTATTTATGCATATTGGGTCCGAATGGGAAAGGCCCAGGTCTCTAAGTGACTGTAGGAAGCCTGTTTAGAAACATTACGTAAAAAAAAAAGATTGCTTATTGTTTTTCGTTGATCATTTTGTAAAACAATTCCTCTTCCACTTTCCTCTGATGGACCTAAATATAAAATCGTGGTAATTCCGATCACTGTCTGTGGCGCTGAATTCACTATTGATATTTACCTGTTTGTTTGTTTACCTTTATAATTATTTACGTGGCCTAATCTTATTATAATGTTTGGAAGGCAATGTCCATGGCTCGGACATGAAATGCAATTTTCAAAATGCAAATGCAATATGTAGCCAAATCTATTTCCATGTTGAAGCCAACTAGACTACTTTTTTTGTTTGTAATTTTTTGTATACATGTTTGTTATAACTACGCCTATTATAGGGTTAGTGTAGCCCTATAATATTTAATAAACTATCTTCAATGGATAGGACAAACATCCATGCCCTCATGCCGAATTGGAGTTTATAAAAAAAAAACGGAACATCAAACACCATAAATACAGAACTTGAAGCAACCACATAAAAAGCTTTGGAGCAGGTTTTCATTGGCTAGTGAGTGGCCAAGCCCTTGTCACACCTACAACTTATGAATTTATAGAAAGCCTGCCTCTTTATGCTAACCCCAGGTGTTGCGCCCATAATTCCCACCATCAAAATAGCTAAAATATTTATGTGAATGCGCTAAGATTTACGTTTGCATTTGGTTTGTGAAAATAGAGCCCTTGGGGTGCCAAAATTATATTTCTCACAACGTAATTACACTTTATATGAAACAAAAGATTTCAAGCACATAATTCTGTCGTTAAATCAGAAGATTGCAAACAGCAGGCATGGCAAACTGAAAATGATCTATTCAACAATGGCATACATAACAACCATAGGAGAACCAAAGGGGTCAATGATACCTCACACATACAATGAGATGTAAACAGTGCTCTGAATGGCAGTTTATATAGTCACGCAGTGTGAAGTCCATGTGAAGTCCAAACAAAGCTAAAGAAGCAAGGCTATGCTCAAACATTGGAAATGTTTGGAGTGCAGTAACTGCTTCCTTGCACAATTTGCCCACTTTATTTATTTTCATTCACTGACTGGTGTTGGTCAAAATGGAAAGCAAAATTGTAATGGGGGAGTCAAAGGAAATCGTAAGCCAAAATGAGAATGAATCTTAATATAGGTCAGAAAGTAAGTTGATGCTTAAATGGGCAATCTGTGATTCAAACAATAATAAAGTGGCCACCCCGCCACTGATTTTGGTAAACAGATGAGGGATGGGGCTGGAGAAATGTAACTACTCTCAAACTCATAGACATAGTTATGGATGCAAGGACAGACCATCCATAAGATCATAGTTTTAACTATGTTTTGAGGCTGTAGTGTTTGTTTACAATTACATTGTTTACAAACAATGGAGTAAAACAAGCTTATATTTTGGGTTCTGATGGGGTACGACAGTTGAACTAAGCTCATGAGTCATTTAAAAGTTGTATTCTTGAAGAATCAATGGGTATATATACTGAGTATACAAAACATTAAGAACTGACCAGTTGAATCCAGGTGAAAGCTATCATCCCTTATTGATGTCACTTGTTAAATTCACTTCAATCAGTGTAGATGAAGGGGAGGAGACAGGTTAAAGAAGGATTTTTAAGCCTTGAGACATGGATTGTGTATGTGTGCCATTTAGAGGGTGAATGGGCAAGACAGAAACTAAGTGCCTTTGAACGGGGTATGGTAGTAGGTGCCAGGCGCACCAGTTTGTGACAAGAACTGCAACACTGCTGGGTTTTTCAAGCTCAACAGTTTCCCGTGTGTATCAAGAATGGTCCACCACCCAAAGGACATCCAGCCAACTTGACACAACTGTGGGAAACATTGGAGTCAACATGGGCCAACATCACTGTGGAACGCTTTCGACACTTTGTAGAGTCCATGTCCCGACGAATTGAATCTGCTCTGCGGGTAAAAGGGGAGGGGGGGTGCAACTCAATATTAGGAAGGTGTTCCTAATGTTTGGTATACTCAGTGTACAGTATATCATTCATATAAAAGTCCCAAAATATATCAATCGCAGATTGCCTCTTTAAGGAATGTTTACTAATCATATCAGTAGTGAAATCTGTTCTAACAGTTACTCAAGTAAAACATACCTGAGGGATCCTGCTCAGTATATCACCTGCACCTCCATTCATGTCTTGACAGCAATAGCATACACACACCCCAGTGACTTTATTCTTTCTTAAGTGGGAGCTTTCCCAAGGGCAACAATCCACTTTTTAAAGCATTATTATGTGTTGCATAGTATACTAGTAAGTAATCTGAAATACTTTTATTAACTTGTGTTGTATTGTGGGTATTTGAGATGGGTGCACTTTAATATTTTATGCTTTCCTACGTGTGTTACCCAGACTTCTTGGTAATGTTTACCTAAAGGAGTATGGTTTGAGTATCCTTCCATTATAGATACTGAACCTGCTGTCATAGTAACCGCTTGCTAAAGACACCCTTTCCTTGGACTCCCCTACTGGCCAAGTTAGATTAGCATATGTGCTCTTATTAAAGACTTGACCCCTTGGTGCTTTATCTGGGTGGCTGCTTGCTCCACCCTGTTTGCTTGCCTGGAGGGCTTGGAGATGTCTTGAAGTCCTTCACCCCAGCTGTCCATCATTCTGTCCCCTGTGGCAAAATAAAACATGAAACACAAATAGTTTTGTTTGTTAGCCAATATTTCAGTTATTAGTTTCTACCTGAAATACTTTAATAGACTTTAATACTTTAATTGTTTAATAATTCAGAAGAAGGGTGTACCTCAGTTGGCATAGTTAATATAAGAAAGGCTCACTCCGATATAAACTTCAGACATGCAAACTATATTGTTAAATACTGTACATACAAGACAGGTAGGACAAATATGCCTGAACCCTGGAATTATGAAGAGCAAAGTTCCTTTTCAAATCCATAGCAACCATGGAAAAAATAACTAAGTCATTTTTATTTCTATACAGATAATTCTGTGAAACCAACTGATGGCATAAATTATATTCAGCTATCTGGTGCAGAGAATGTGACTGCTAAAAAGTCTATAGGCTCTATTTTTGGCTGGCGCAAAGGAGGCGCAAGTGTCAAATGCACGTTAGTTTGCAATTTTGTCATGTAAAAACTGGCGCACTGTCATTTTCCAGCCCTAACACCAGGTTCAGCAATTTACCTGTCTAACATCAGCTCACTTGCGCTGAGGTGGGAGGGGTGGCAATATTTGAGGTGTGTTCTTAAAAACACTTGCAAAAGTGACAATTTCATGCAGCGCTAATGGGACGTTTTAAGACCCACAAAAAGCAGGTCCTACAGGTACTGTAACACAGTTGATAATGGCATGGATTTGAGAGCGGAAATGCAGCCTATCCAGCCATGATGCACGTTGCCCA